ACACGGAGTGAGCTGATGTTGGTAACTTGGAGGCATTTTCTCACTCTATCTGGGTCACTGTCTGTTGGAAAGCTGCCTTTTCCATGTAGTCTTTGGTTGGATAAGTCCTCCTATTTCCCAAGTGGCTGTTAGGGGCCATTGGTGGGCACGGCTGTCCACAGGCCTTATGATCCAACCGAAAGTAGATCAGCGAGCAGAATTCACTGTGAAGAGAAGCTCAGTGGTGCAGAGCTCTTTATCTTCTGTGTGTCCACCCACCTTCTTGAGGATCCTTCCCCTTCTTATGATTTGTAATCTTAATGATAGAAAGGCATCTTCCCAGGTTGGTGAGAGTGGTGCTGTGTGTTTTTCCAGCTGCTAGACACTCCCTTGGAAATGCTGATACATGTGTCACCAGTCCCAGGAATCATTATCTCAGTCATCTTGCATACCTCAGGTTCTTTGGAGGTGGAGGAGAAAATTTAAGGAGAACAATTACAAATCAAGTTCTACAATACTAAAATAGTCTTCAGCATCTAAAACCTTTTACTCCACATTTGCCCACATGTGTTGGATATTTATGAAGTTTCCTTTGGATGGCATTGTGCTTACCTAATTGGATAAAAGTGGTTGAGGTGTAGGAAATACTTTGCACATGAAAGGTGTTCTGTCATCTATGTCTTTGCTAATTTTCTGGGTCGCTGTGATATCAAATTAAAACTTAGCTACACAATTGCCATCCTACTTTGAGAACAGCAGTTAAGCATTGTTTATTTAAGTTTTGAAAAGTCAGAAACTCAGTTAAAATTGTAATGTATTTTTACACAACATATTTCTTTCATCTTGGTCTGTTAGGTACCCTTTGATCTTGTCCCTGATTCTCTGTGTGCTGTTTACTATGTTTTTTGGATCTGCCTTGATTTTATCTGAATTCCCCCCAAATGAACCAATGGCCTTCAATATGGTGTTCATACATAGTTGCTTCCTAAAAGTTACAGAATGGATCATTTACAACTGTTTTTGAAAGGAAACTCTCTTCTGTTTGGTGGCCTCAGCAGTTGTATTAGTGACTTATCTCTGAATAAAATGGACTCAATTTAGGCCTTTAATATTTTGCCTTCTCTAATTACCTGGCATTTCATCTATATATTTCTCTTTCATCTTTGGGAATTGTTTGTCAGTAAAATAGGTTGTAGAAGACTGTTTATTTCTCTCAGTCTATAAAAGAGTTTTTTCATCTCTTCAGTGAAGAAGGGTTTGGATTAGAAGGTCTCCAAAGTGCTTGCCAGCTCTAAAATTTCTTATAATTGGTTTCCCTGTGAATCTGTATAGTGTTGCTGATTCTGTTAGCTGAGTTGTTTGTCTCATTGTGCCCCCTTCTCACTCCCAAACATACATACCTTCTGAACCATCATTCTTGTCTCAGAAAACACTTGCCCATAGGGCACTGAGCAGAAACTTGAATTATTATGTCTTCATTATATGTATCTGTACTGTTTACTGTGTAACATCACACATACTTAAAACACTTGCTATCATTAATTACCAAGAAATTGTTCCTAAAATGGTACCCTAAATTTTTGTAATATAACCCCTGAATCTTAGTTCTTTTTTAAGAGGTTCATCATTTACAGATGAATGTAAGCTCCATGAAGACAAAAAGGAAATTTGTGTGTTTTTGTTCACTGATACAGCTTTAGCACCTACTCCCATGCCTGGATCACAGGAGGTAGTCTGTAAACCTATTTTGAATAAATAAATGTGATTTCAGATGGATTTTTATTTAAAGGCAAAACAAATATAAATACAACTTGAATATTTATTACCCAAATGATAATTATGAGAAATATTTGACAACACTGATAACCTGTGTTCCTGGTTCTTCTTTTTAATAATCTGTAGCTATGCTGCCCAGTGTGGTAGCTTTGTGCTACCCCCATGTGCACATTTTGACTTAAATGTGGCCAGGAGGAATTGAGATGTGCTGTAAGTGTGAAATACATGTTGGGTTTCAAAGGCTCAGTACCAAAAAGTGTAAAGAATCTTATTCATGTTTTAGTATGGATTACATGTTGAAATAATAATATTTTGCATACATCATGTTAAGTGAAAATTATTATTGAAATTAATTTCACTCTTTTTTGGGTTACTTTTTAAATGTGGCTACCAGAAAATTAAAAATGGCTCTGGTGTGATGGCTCACTGAACAGCTCTAGTCTCAACTAAAAAATGTCGATACTGAATGTAGAAAAGGGGCTAGCCCCAAAAAGGAGTTTTAAATGAATATCTTTGATAGGAACAAAATTGTATGTTGCAGCTGTGACTTGGGAAAGTGGGCATTCAAATGGTCTTGATCAAATTAAAAAAGAACAAAATAAATTAATTAGATTAGCTCAGATCAGAAGTATGAAATTCCAGCTACCAGATGGATTCCTAGCATAGTCATCAGCCAAGTCTTGGGGTCAGAAAAGGGGCAACAAGGAGGTGGTGTCCGAGCAAACATGAGTGGTCAGTGATGGCACATGAAGGCCATGGTTTTTACACTTCTCTGCCCAGTGCTCACCTGATGGTGGTCACAGCTGTGGAGGACGATATGTTTGCTTGAAGCCAGGTAATGCTGTCATTTTTCATGCCCCTGGGAAATGGAATCCTGGCAGGAAGAAATATAGTACTGGAGGCCCAAGTGTGTGGGATTGCTCTCAGTGAGTGTACTGTTTTGTCCCTTCCCATGCCTGTAGGCAGGTTCTTTGTCCCTTTAGCTGATGTAAAGTCAGTGCCAACTTCATCCTTCCTTCTCCAGGCAGGCTGTGCTTCTGGCTTCGGGGAACCAGACCATCCCCTCCCTCTGTCTCCTATCCCCCCAGAGCAGCTGGGAACCCCATCCAGTTGCAGCATTTTCTCCCATGACACATGGTGGACCTTGGAGGATGAAACTGTTATACTATAAAACAAGGCCATCCAGGACTTATGAGTAGACATTACCTTCCTTAAGCTCATTTGAAAGGTTATTCCGTAAGTGGTTAGTCTGTGCAGCTGGTTTAAGCTATTATCAAGCTTTCAAACTATTAAGCTATTATCAAGTCCATTCCAGTATTTGCTTCCTTGAAAGCTAGAATGGCCCTTGAATAGATGAAGACTTAGGCTTTTTAGGAGTAAACTTAATTTATAAATACTTGTTTCATTTGGCACTGGAGATCTAGTTCTCTTTATTTTGGATTTCAAAGTAGTTGTGTAGTAAAGCAGCATGCCTGTAAATAAAATGGCTTTCATGCTCACCTTATTTTCACCCATCTGACCTCTGATTTTGGAGAAAGTAGATCAGAAAATTCATGGCAGTTAGTGGTGGAGTGATGAGATCTTTGACTTTAGCTGACAGCTGTCACCTGAAAACTGCAGACCTGGAGACCCTCTCAGGTGTTCTGTCTGTAGTTCTGACAGCAAACAGGAATGCTGTTTACATTTTCGGTGAGCAAAATTCTCCCCTTGTTAGGAATATGTTAGAATAGGGCAGGCATAAACTGAATTGCTGTCTCTTATTGGTAAATTCTCAGCAGTGGTGTTTTGCCTATTGTTCATTCCCATGCTTATATAGACATGTGTCAGTAGGATTTATGAGTGAGCCTGTTTATAACATTACTTTGAAATTCTCCAGCAAGATACTGTGTTGTTGTTTTTTTTCCAAGTCGGGCGGTGTCACACAATGCTTAATGTGCTTATGAAAGAGAAAAAAATGAGTTAAATTCCAGAGATGTTTAAGATTTCAGACATTTTTCTTATGTGAATTAGTTCTTTCTTAACTTGTTGATTTAATTAGCATTCAGCAAAAATATGTTCCTGTTTTGATTGTTGAAACATTCTTTAAATTGGTTATTTTGATCTGACACAAAATCTGCCAGGAACTGTGAGAATAAAATGCAGAGCGAATAGGCAGTGTGCACCATGTTCTGTGAACACAGGGAGCTGATGGATGTGCCTGACCACTTTCCCACTCTACCTGCTCATGTCCTGCCTGGTCCTAAAAGAGGTTAGGCAAGGGTAAAGGCTACATGGATATTTTGAACTGTATTCTGTCAAAATAGTTTTCAGTTTTTGGGAAAAGTTTTCTGATTCTACAGATGGACAGTACCCATCGTCTAGAAACTGTGCATCTAGTTGGAGTTTTCCTGAGTGGTCATGTGGGCTCCTTGTCCATCACCAGAGCCCTGGGCCTACCGGTGAATAATGAACCTGGGATTGGACTTCCTCTGCTGGCAATGTAGGCGGGGAGTGTGGGGGGCCTAGCGCTGTGAGTGAAATTGGTCCTCTTGGAGAATGGAAGCCTTTCTTCTGGTCTCTTTCTGAATCTTGTATATTCCTGCCATTAAACAATGAAATTACGAAGTTGTTACCGTGTTTGCAAGCTTGCGCTCCAGCATCGTTATGGACGCTTTCTCATTCAGAGCCTCTGTTCCATAGTGTATGCGGGCCATAAACATCTAATTTGTATGAAATGACTGATTTTGGTATTTGTATAATCCACTAGTCAATTTAACTAAGTTGAGCTTTTCACAGCCCTCGTGCTGCTGCTGCGCATCTGATTACACAGCTCTGGGGAATAAGGTTAAGGGCGGGCTGTTGGTAACCAGAGCATTTCCAGGGCTTCAGTTCAGCAGATGGGCCGCTTGGCTATGTTCATACATCTGCTCGCCTGCTGTGGCAGCTGCTGCTGCTTCATGTTGCGTTCTTTTGTTCTGTTCCATCCAAGAAGGGAACACTAGGAAGTATAGTGAATGGATTAATTTAAGGTTAAGGTTAGTGTTTTGCTTGCTTTCTAAGTAACTGATCATAATAATGCTTCTGGTAGAAGGTAATGAGTTTCTCTTAAAGTGAAGTAGATTTATAAAATACAGCTCAGCATGGGGGCTAGATTAGCATTGTTGATGGGAGCCAAATTCAAATGTGTAAAATACTGGCAGTTTTTATCACTTGGTCCTAATTCTTTGTTTTCTTCTTTCCTTCTCCCACCTCCTACTCCCTTCTAGGACCTATATCCAGACTTGGCCTGACACTGCAGGGTCCAAGAGAATTAAAGAAATATGGAATGACATGAAGAAGATTAGTTAAGGATTATAGGCTTTGAGGACAAGCCCCCAGTGAAGTGAAGCACAGTCAGGCTCCTGAGCTGTAGTGTGGAGGAGCCGTGTGTTGGAAGAAGATGGCAGATCCGGGAATGATGAGTCTTTTTGGCGAGGATGGAAATATTTTCAGTGAGGGTCTTGAAGGCCTCGGAGAATGTGGTTACCCTGAAAACCCAGTGAATGCCATGGGTCAGCAGATGCCGATAGACCAAGGCTTTGCCTCTCTACAGCCGTCCCTGCATCATCCCTCCACGAATCAAAATCAAACCAAGTTGACCCATTTTGACCACTATAATCAGTATGAACAACAAAAGATGCATCTGATGGATCAGCCGAACAGAATGATGAACAGTGCCCCTGGGAATGGACTCGCGTCCCCTCACTCGCAATACCATGCCCCTCCCGTCCCTCAGGTCCCTCATGGTGGCAGCAGCAGTGGCCAGATGGGCGTCTACCCTGGCATGCAGAACGAAAGGCATGGGCCGTCTTTTGTGGACAGTGGCTCCATGTGGGGCCCCCGGGCTGTTCAGGTACCGGACCAGATACGCGCGCCCTACCAGCAGCCACCCCAGCCGCAGCCCCAGCCAGCTCCGTCGGGGCCGCCCGCACAGGGCCACCCGCAGCACATGCCACAGATGGGCAGCTACATGGCGCGCGGGGAGTTTTCCCTGCAGCAGCACGGCCAGCCGCAGCAGAGGATGAGCCAGTTTGCCCAAGGTCAAGAGGGCCTCAATCAGGGCAATCCTTTTATCACCAGCTCAGGACCTGGCCACTTGTCCCATGTGCCCCAGCAGAGCTCTAGCTTGGCACCCTCCCTACGCCACTCGGTGCAGCAGTTCCACCATCCCCCCACTGCTCTCCACGGAGAATCTGTTGCCCACAGTCCCAGATTCTCCCCTAATCCTCCTCAACAAGGGGCTGTTAGGCCACAAACCCTTACCTTTAGTTCTCGGAGCCAGACAGTCCCCTCACCTACGATAAACAACTCAGGGCAGTATTCTCGATATCCTTACAGTAACCTAAATCAGGGATTAGTTAACAATACAGGGATGAATCAAAATTTAGGCCTTACAAATAATACTCCAATGAATCAGTCTGTACCAAGATACCCCAATGCTGTAGGATTCCCACCAAACAGTGGTCAAGGACTAATGCACCAGCAGTCCATCCACCCCAGTGGCTCACTTAACCAAATGAACACACAAACTATGCATCCTTCACAGCCTCAGGGAACTTATGCCTCGCCACCTCCCATGTCACCCATGAAAGCAATGAGTAATCCAGCAGGTACTCCTCCTCCACAAGTCAGGCCCGGAAGTGCTGGGATACCAATGGAAGTTGGCAGTTATCCAAATATGCCCCACCCTCAGCCATCTCACCAGCCCCCTGGTGCCATGGGAATTGGACAGAGGAATATGGGCCCCAGAAACATGCAGCAGTCTCGTCCGTTTATGGGCATGTCCTCAGCACCGCGGGAGCTGGCCGGGCACATGAGACCAAATGGTTGTCCTGGTGTTGGCCTTGCAGATCCACAAGCCATCCAGGAACGACTACTACCTGGCCAGCAGCACCCTGGTCAGCAGCCGTCTTTTCAGCCATTGCCAACCTGTCCTCCGATGCAGCCCCACCCGGGCTTGCACCACCAGTCTTCACCCCCACACCCGCACCACCAGCCTTGGGCACAGCTCCACCCATCACCCCAGAACACCCCACAGAAAGTGCCTGTGCCTCAGGTAAGGGACCCAGATCCTGCCTGCCTTGTAGTGTACTGTGTAACACAGTGAACTCAATGAGTAGAATTTTCCTTGAAGCTTTATGGAAAGCTTTTCTCATTACAAATTCCTTAATTTTTATCTTGTGAGCTGCCCCAGAGTCTCATTTTTTCCTATTGGTCCCTTTATTTATTTTCTCATTTATTGGCTTATGCATTTATTCACTTAATCAGAAAGGCTTGAGTCCTTCTGTCCCAAGAATTGTGCTAAGTGCTAAGGATGCACATAACAGCTAAACCCTGCAAGGTTGTCCCTGCCAGCAGGGAGCCAGACACCAGACGCTGAGCAAGTATTTTTTTCTTTCTTTTTCTTCTTCAGTTCTTTCTCTTTCTCTCTGTTTTAAAAATATACTCAAACTTGGTTTCCAGTGAAGTTAAACTGTGTTTGTGGTAGTCTCTTCCACCTCTTACAGAAAATCATAATTTTTTAATTGAGAAGCTACAAAATGTGTCCTTCAATAATATTTGTTTTGCCAACTGTTGAAAGTTAGTGTGAACCTAAATTGCAAACCGTAGAAAATCACAGTGATCATCCACAGAAAGCGTATGGTCTCTAAGATATTTGGCTACCTAGCATTGAAACAGGAGTCATCCTTCTTATAAGCTGGGATTTTTGTTACCCTACAGAATTTATAAGCAAACAGATTGAAGTTTTAAGCACTCATGTTCATGTTCATAAAGACATCTTTACATTATAAATGTTGTTGGTATTTTTGTCATAGGTCTAGGAAGAACAAATTAATATCCGTAGGTATAGGTTATTCTGAGTGCTATTCAAAAATCTGTCCTGCACTTCTACTGTGATTGCATCTCTGAGCTTGGGTGGCACAAGAGGTGGTTTTAGAGCTGAAAGAACTTGAAGTCATTTAGGGAGACATGACCATTCTGTGGAAATAGAGTGAAAGGCCACATGTGATTATGTGACAAGTGTCCAGAGAGAGGAATACCAGTGGTTGAGGGCTCTTGGAACCTGGCTAGGACTTAGCCAGGGAAAGAACCAAGGACCACATTTCAGGTTGGGGGATACTTGGGTAAGCAGGGGCATGGGTTTTGAGCTTGCTGCAGGTGAGGGTCAGATGGTACAAATCTTGTGTTTTCTGTTTTAAGGAATTTGGACTTCAGTGGTGAGCCAGTGATATTAATTAGTACATAAGATCGCTGGGGAGCCCGAACAGAACTGTGAGCCTGTGGTCCAGGTCTCTATGGGAAGTTTAAACTAGGTATCAGAGTGGGAAGAGAGGGGACTGGAGCAATGTGAAGTAGAAGGGCGTAGTCAGAAGCAAAGATGTTTGGGGCATCCTGGATGACGAGGTGTTTAGAACAGACACTCAGAAGCCTTGGCCTCAGTGGGCATGGGGAAGTAGAGGTCAGGAAGTTCCCCTGGGGACCTCAGGACATTTAGGGGTTTTGGGGAGGCTACCCTCAGAGATCCAGCATACCTGGAGATCCTCAGGGAAGAGCCCAAGGTCAGTGGGGGTGCCTGGGCCTCAGCCTCCTGGCCTGTGCTGCCTGGGGAAGCTCTTTCTTCTCCTTTTTTCTTCCAGAGCCCAAGCCCAGCTTGCAGTCTGCAGGAACTGAGAAGAGTATGAAAGAGGTGGGAGACAGGCAGGCTGACAAGATGCTGGGAGCAGAGGCCCTTGGAAAAACAAGGGCAAAGGAATGAATGGAGAACAGCAAACCTGGCTAATTTGTTTTCTATTTCAACCTCAAGGCAAAGTGCCCCTCCTTAGAAGCGACTACAAGAGCCGTCCCTGAAGCAGTGCCCAGGTGGCTTCAGGGACAGAAATGAATGTGACTTAGTTTTCAGGAACTGTTCTTTTCCTGTTCCTTGGGATCTCTTACAAAGCAAGTGATCTTTTCAGAGCAGTGGTTCTTAGACTTCTGTCTCTGCATTTTCTCTCTTCCCTGGAGGATGAGCACAGGTCCAAGGAGACACCCTGTGATTATAACCTGATCTCTGGATGGGAACTGTTGCTTTCATCCAGTTTTCCCTAGTTTTGAGTACAAATATCTCAACAGGTGTTTGGAGGGCATGTATAAATACATGGTGTTGGAGTCAGTGAACACTAGAGGGTTGCCTGGGTGCTGTGCCCTGGCTAGACATTGGGGACACCAAGTGAATTTCCTTTTCTCTCCAGCTATAGCTTCTCAAGGGTGCCATTATAGATAAACTTGGAACTGTTTATGGGATGTAAACAAGTGCATTTGTTGTATTTTTACTATATAAGTTCAATTGCATTTAAAAAAAAAATTTCACTAATGGTATTTGATTTCTTATTTCTGCTTAATTTATCATCCTCTTCAGATGTTGAAGCACTCAGTTCTTGAAAGCAATACTAGAGAAGTGTAAAGTCTTGGGAAGAAAATATTTAATTCAGAAAAGTATTTGAATCCCAGCTCTATTACTTGCATGGTGACCTTAGGGAACTTACTTAACCCCTCTGAACCTCAGATTCTTCATCAGTAAAACAGGAAAGATAGTACCTCTCCCAAAGGTGTTGAGATTAAGTGAGGCATCACATACCCATGTCAAGTGTAATGTCCACTATGGTGTACACTCATGTTAATTTTCCTCTAGGTTTTAGTTCCTGATCTCCTGCAGTGTAAACTGTATTTTATAATCATGTCACTTCACATGTAAATACAATGTAAAATTACTTTTGTTTTCAAGAAACAGGTTAAATATGAAATACAGTCTTAGTTATAATGTACTAAATTTGACTTGTGCAAATATTACCTTCCTTTTGGTCCATATTGGTGGGTGTGAGTGAGGATAATGATGTAGGTAATTAACATGCTATCACATAACTCTAAAAACCTCTCTCTCCCTGTGAATGACTCCATTCTACTCTAGCAAATCTGTGTCTCTAATTGTGTTTTGCTTTAGAAGTACTAAAATTATTTTATATTTCATATATGATAGAATAGTGGTTCAAAATCATGCTGTGTAGCAGGGAAAATACCAGATCCTAACAGGTTGAAATATTGTTGTGATTTGCTGAGTTACTGCATTCAGATAGGCCTATTATCTTTTTTATCCTGAGTTTTTCACTTTTTAAAAATAGAAGTTAAATTTTTTAAATGTTTCATTGGTTTTGAACAGATGGTAGCTAAATTATATAACATATTTAAATGTTTTTAAAGATAAGTTTAACTTTATATTGAAGAGTCCACAAAGGAAAATGTTAGAACAGGAAGGCCAGGGTTCATCAGACTGCAGTGTTCATTGTGGTGTGTGGACATATTCTTTTTTAATTTAAAAATTTTTTTGACATATTCTTTAATGGAAGCTCTAGACTATCCTGATTACTTATAAAACTTACAGGGAAAGAAAATACCCTAACTTATATTTTTTTCAATAGCTGATTAGAACAGGGGTTTCCAAAGCTTTTCATCTCAGACCCCTGTATACTCTTAACAATTATTGATTAACATAAACAAAAAAATCTTTTGTTTATGTGGGTTTTATATGTTAATATTTATTGGCTTAGAAATTTAGACTGAGGTTTGAAATGTTTGTTAATTATTAAAAAATAATAAACCATATGTGTTAAAGTAACATTTTAAAAATAACTGCTTTCTAACCCTCTCCCCTGACAAAATTAATGGCATCTTTTTATATCAAGTGTTGGATTCTAGCATCTGCTTTTGCATGCACTCTGCATGCGAGGCGTGAGCCCCTGAAAAAGTCCACTTGCATTAGAAGAGAATGAGAGCAAAAGGCAAATAACATCTCAGTGTCACCAGAACAAGAAGAATTCTGGGCCTCACAGACCCCAGAGCCCCCAATCCCACCTTGCATGGGCTTTCAAGGCGGTAGCTTTTGAATTGAAGTGCCACCATCTGATGACTGACCTTGTGACTTGGGCAGGTGACTTAACCTCAGGGCTTTGATTATATATACTTCCCTGGTTAGAGGCATACTGAAATTAAAAATAATGTGTTTTAGTATTTAAGGTGATATCAGACACATGGGTGGGGACTCAAAAATGATACATTGTTATAGGGCAGATGTCCAGGATTGCTTGTTGCATAATTTAAAAAATAATCCAGGTACTTATTTCAGTGTTAACTATTGTCGTTGTTTGAGCTCATTTCCTTGCTTTCAGGGAACAGTTATCAAACATCAAGGCTGCCTATGTACTACAGGGATCTTGCTGGGGCGGTGGTGGAGCCCTGGAGCAGGCAAGTATCGGCCAGAAGCACACCACAGACAGAGAGCTGCGTGCACGGGGTGCACAGCCCCTGATCCAGGCTTAGGGTGGTCCAGAGTGGCGTCTGGAGGGTGTTCAGGGGAAGTGATGTCTTTGCTGAGAAGATAGGGGCTGGGGGCAGGAGAGAGACAGCTGCATGTGCCCCTGCGGGACCTCGTCTGTCACAGTGAGACACGCAGACCAGGCTGTGAGGTGGGGGAGGTCATGGGGTGCACCAGGCAGTTTTGGCAGGGATATGGTCCCGTCAGCCATCAGCGCGCTTCAGCGCCTTGGGCACAAGAGAGCAGAGGAGCGAGTGTCTGGGCCCCGTGTCCGCCCGTGAGAACAGCCTAGAAGGAAGGCACAGAACCTTGTTTTGTTCATTTGAACAGCTTATCTAAGAAAGACTGATTAAGTGGGTTGTCCTTCAGGCTCATCCCCGAGTTGCTGAATAATGCATACTGCACATGTGTGCTTCAGTCTGTGACTCATGCGCCCAGATGGGCAAGGTCTAATGGAAGTTTTAAAAAAGGATAAAAATTGTGTTCTTAGGATAAGTATATTTTGGGCACATTTGTGCCCCTTTCATTAATTTGGTCCTGAAATAAAGTGATGGTAAAGGAGAAGAGAAGCAGGAAAAAAACTTAAAGGACACTAAGGTTGAAGTAATGGGTAATAATTTCTGTGTCCAAATAGTCCTCTAAGAGATTTAAACAAAAAAGACCTAGAACAATCAGTGGTATAGTATTTCTAATTCTTTGTTACAAGA